GCTTATTCTATTCGCTCGCATTTAGGTCTCAACCATCTGCAACTGCTCAGGCCAAGAAGGCATCTCTGGCGTCGTTCTCTATTCCGTGAGCCGCAATCTTGGCCAAGACGCAGTTTTGTGAGGTTCTTAATTTTACAGGAAACCCAGCAATAAAGTTTTGTGCAGAACACTTTTGGGTTGTATTTTCTGAAAAGTTAAGAATTTCACCAAATATTAATATTAATGTATACATACATATATACATATATATATATATGTATATATTTTTTTTTTGAACTCCGGACCCCATTGGGGTGCTCTTAGAGCAATACTAGATGTCCATGAGAGAGTATGTGACTGAAATGTTTCAATTTGTTTATTTAAATTTTATGTAAGAAATAAACTATATGAATAAAAGAATGACACGTAAGGAGAAAATATCTGAACTTTTGTTTTTAAGCTTCTTTGCACCACCGAAACTTTCTTCACTAGGTGCCAGACTACGCGCAAGCGCGGAGACATATGTTGAGTTATTTTCATTCGATTGTCTTGTGGCCAGTATATATTGATAATTTTTAAAGTTGTTAATATGTTTATGAAGTTGTTAATAATTGCTAATAATGGGGAATAAATATGAAGGGATTCAACTGTTTTGAATGCTTTCAATAGTAAATATAATAGATAGTTAAATATCATTGAATTAATATTTAAGTTGAATAATGTGATATCATAAATTTACATTGGATATATTAACTTTTAAGTGTGTAGTTTTAAATATTGAGTTTATTGGATTGTGACATTTGATTTTTAAGTACATGGGACTTAAGAAAACCTTCTCAATAACCAGTGAGGTCTTTCATGAATAGTTTTGTTATCTTCATGTCATCGACACACATACATCGTCCACAACCAATTCAACACGATACCTAAGAAGAAGAGGGTTAAATGTGAGTGGTTAGTGTAAGTTGGATATGGCAAAAACTGAGACAACGTATGACTATTTGAACCTGATGACACCTGTAAATTTGTTGATAGACAACGTTTGCACCTGTTGTAATCGGTGCAAGAGATGTAACTCTACTCGTTCTGATGGAGGACACTGACGATCCCAGCTTTACATAGGAAATAAGTTATTGGGTCTTCACAAATCCAGTTGATGATACATGAGATGGTACATGATTAAATGATTTACTATTCACAAAAGTTGACATAAAGGTATGTGTAGAGGTCCCCACACTTATCTTTCTTCTGAATCCCTCCCATTGTCTCAACATGTGGGAAAACATATGTTGTTGCAACCCCTAAGCTGTGTTTGAAGATTTTTTTTTTTTAAAAAAAAAATCTTAACTAAAACCTTGATATATCATTCTATCTAATAACATTACTTTCTATCAACTTAAAAAAACTTCCCTACGATAAGAGTAGCTCTCACTTTCTTTCTTGTGGTATTTTTGTTTCATTAGTACTTATAAATAATATCACATGTAAAATTTCTTTAAAGAAGTCAAGATTTGTGAGACTATATATGAACTGGCTACACCATATTCATTCACCAAATATCATCCCGCAAATCGTACGATCTATTGCACACATGGAGGCGCCCGTTGAGATTTCCGACCACACTATTTGGACATTACTCAGATTCATCAGGAAATAACATCTCTTGAAACTCTTTGGTTATAAAATCAAATGCTAATATCACTCTCTTATTGGGATTACCTTCTTGAAAGGTAACATGTGTAGTTGTTAGGTGGGCCGCTTTCATGGAGAAACCCTAGATCTACAATGAATAAGAACATTAGACGATTAATAGGTTTCTTTTTTGTAACAATCCGGGTTTAATTAAGATGATCTAGGCTGTATATAAAACATATGTTTAATGGGCCACCGAAACCATCAATAAGGCCACAAAACAATCTGAATTACAAAACTTAAGATCAATTAATCACTTAATTTTTGTGTGGGATTTACTTAGTGTTTAAGTGGACACCTTTAAGAAAGAGTAGACTCTCCTATTATTATATAGATTACTAGGAAATAACAAGAAAAAGTCGTCCTAGTAAAGGACGAGTTTTCTTGTAGTGCAGGTCCATCAACATAGTAATAGTGATATTTAAACTCAAGTTATATTATATTTTATAGAGTGGTATTAAATATGGTGTTATCAACATACATATAACTACTGATCTTTTGGTAACATAGGATGAAGTATGATACAACAAAAAAACATGGAGCTCGTATTTTATTTGCCACAGAGTCATCGCGTTGCTAAAATGTTATTATGAATTTATCCGGCCACTGCTTCATGTCAATAGATAAGCTTTATTTTTTATGTTGGTAATTGTGTGAAACTCTAAAAAAAAGATGGGTCAGACATGAATATAGAATAATGGTTCATGAAACAAAGAAACATAAGAGTTTAGTTAAGCTTTAATTTTGCAATTAAAAATGACATGTGTCACAATTTTAGATAATCCTGAGGTGGCTTATGAGAAGAGAGTATGTTCTTTTATATATATATATAGAGATCTTTCCTCTTCTTTTATTTTTTTAAACTAATTTAATTATAAGAACCTCATACCAAAAAGGTTGCCCTTAGTATCATATTCCTTTTAGATACAAATATTTGATGGTTAAATTTAAATTAAATGTTACTCTTATTTATTACTTTTTAAGTTTAATTTTAATTAATTGAAAATTTTCTTTGGTTCTTAGTAAAATTCAAGGGGAATTGGAGTGCATATACATAAGAAGCTAAAAAATTAAGTCTATACACATAAGAAGACATAGGCTATGATATGTTATCAACTCTATTAATTTAGGGTCCTTAAATTTATCTACCATTTAGAAGTTGTCATTTAAATTTGGACTTGCTCTAGAATAATAGGTGTTTGGCTCCTTAAATCTGTTTGGTTCCTTGAATATATAGATGACTAACAACTTAATTTAAACCAACATATAAGTACACATTATTTTGGTTAGATATCTTTTAAACCAATTTCCACACAAGCTACAATTGACAAATTGTACCTTCAACCAATACATTTTAAATTCACTTTATGTCATAATACTTGCATGCCTCACACGTTCCCATGTTAGCTTCTCTTTACATTCCAGTTATCAAAATCTGCACCTACTAAACCTTATAATCTGCATCTCTTTACATGCCAATTCCCATGGTTTGAACCGAAATCAAAAACCATAACCAAACTGAAACCAAACCAAAAATTAAAAAAAAAAATTCATGCTTTTAAGCACGGGCACTATCCTAGTATATTTTTAAGAAAAGTGTCGAAAATGTCCTCACCTGCGCGTAGAAAGATATTAGATATATGTTTATCTTTTATCTGGAAACCAACAAAAAAACATTTTCATTTTTCACCCTCTTTCATACGGTGAAAAGTTCTATTTGAAGAAAAGAAATTGTGAGTGTGCCGGAATTTGAGAAGGCAAAAGGGTTACATCGGACAATTGAAAGAACATTCCTAGACAGCAGAGAAGCAAAGTGAGGATTACATCGGAGATTACTGTTCAGGGTGGAGCGATTTCAGAGCAAAAGACACCGAATCAAGGTAGGTCCAATTTGATTGAAAAGTATTACGGGTTATACTCTCAGTTTCATCGCCATCAAACTGTATTAATTGCAATTAAATCAGAACCACCATTCCTGTTGTAGATCCGGTGGAAAGGGTTACGGCGTGTCGACGAAGATGGGGCTGTTTGGAAAGCGATGTTTGGGAGTGAGGATAAGATCACAGCAGAATGGATCGTAAATCAATAGAAACTTGGGAAAAATACAAAGATGGTGAAACATTATAGACCTTCAACTCCGACTAACTTTTGCAATTAGCGGATGGATGTGATAACCTATGTTGTGTTTCTTTTATCAGTTGCTACTTACAATTTATTGGTTTTCCTATGCTTTGCTAGTAACTATGTGGATTTACTTTTAGTGACATAGTAAATAATTTATTGTACAGTGTCAGTTTCTCCATTCTATATCACTGTCTCATTGACAACTTCATCATGCTCTTTGTTAGCAAACTCATCCAAGTGATCATCTAAATCTGAAATATCATTAACTGAATCCACGTCCATTTCTTCGTTCTCGTCTCTATGTATACCAGCTGCTATTTCATCCGTTTCAGAGTTTGCATTTTTTTTCTTAAATGTATCTGAATGTAAAATGATTTTTAGATTGTGGTTTCGTCGATTCTTCTTGCATTTCTTTCTTCTTTCTTTTTAATTTACCCAGTTGATGTTTAATCCCAAGTGCCTAACATCACATTGACACATTTATATATAATATCACCAAAATTGCAGCAAAATACTACCTTCGTTCAATAAAAAATATTTTAATTGCTTCCTATAAATCGAGATGTTACAAATCTATATAGAATATGCACTATTTTGCATAACATTCAACTAATATAAGCATTGAGCTTTAGAGTTACAAAATAAAAAGCTTGTGTTGAGACAAACATGTCATACCATGAACAACTTAGGTACACTTAATTAATATTGATTCAATATATATGGGATCTTGGAGTGTTAGAGAGAAGATCCTATATTAAAAATATGAAAGAGACTTAATAATAAATAAGTGACTTGAACCAATTTACTTAATATCAATTAGTTTTAAATTGGAAGTTCAATAAACTTAATAATATTTAAACATGTCTTCTCTACCACAAAAGCTTAGGGTACTAGATTAATAGTGATTCAATATGCCTCACCACAAGCATGTCATACCATAAACATATCATACATGTATTGTAAAAAGTTACATTTTAAATGAATTTTCTTAAAAAGAAAACATTTTTAAGAGAATAATATTGATTCAGTCTGTCATATTTAGTGTGATGTAATAATCAATACAAATAATCAACAATTCTTACGTGACTGAAGCTAACTGAAAAAATTTATTCAGAAATCAGAATAATAAAAGAATTTTCAACTGTTAAATTAAATAAACAGAAAAGAAAACACGTATTGTTATGTCTCATTTCTTATTGATTAACCTACGCAGATATGTGCTTGTACGTAGGGTTGATACTCCGTAGTCTCCCCTCTTCAACGTCTAACAAATTCATCGTGACTGCATCCGATGCCTTGGCCAAGAACTCTGACCAGTCTCTACACAATTAGTTTACGTATAATTAGTTATGAATTAAATAATGAATTAAAAATTATGTTTTGACTGTTTCAAACGGTGTGTTTGCTAGACAAAAACTATACTTAGTACTATACGAGTGCAAATCTCTAGTGTTTGAATGAACTTTCTTCGTATACCGGTATATTCAAATACGAAACGTCAGCACAGTCATTATTCCATTATATTTATAATTCCGGATATATATATATATATATATATATATATATATATATATATATATATATATATATATATATATATATAATAACATATATGAGAAATGTTTAATAAAGCCATTTAAAGTGTTAATTATGTTTTACCTCTTAAGGTTACCGAAAATTATATTAAACATACGTTAGAAAACAATGAAACTATGCATTGCATATAAAACATGAACCCCAAGAGCATACCCATTAGACGTATCAAACGTGAGTCCTACGGTGTATTTTGCTTCCTCGAGAGCCAACCGGAACCTCCGAATCTCGGCAGCTGGACGTGTCCTGTCGTCCTTAACGCATAATTCCGATGGCTTGACGTCGCAAAAGATTGGGATAACTCTCTTCTTGCTCTCCATGAGCATGGTGAGTTCATGGAGACAGAAGTAAGAGTCACAGTAACGAGGAGAGAAAACCGCAATACCAGCACTGCATTCTTTGATTGCTGCATTGATCTCCACGAAAAGTTTATCCCCAGGCTTTAAGTTCTTACTATCCAAAAAAGAATTCAAACCTAACCTAGTGAATCGATCATATAATAGACCTGAAATAGTCTTCTTAGTATCAATCCCCCGATGATTGATGAAAATATCACATGGGTTTGGGTTACGTAGGGTTGGGTTTGCTACGTATCTTGTGTATGCGAGTTTTGAACAAGGTGCTGACAAACGTTGCATCGATCAAATTTGAACTGAAGAGAAGAATGAAATAAATCAAAAGAATTATTTAGAGATTACGGGAACTAGTTTTATTTAACCTTGTTTGAAAAAAAAATAGTAATGGATCGTAAGAAGAACTGGTTTTAGATTGGCAGGAAATAGATATATGTGTCTTTATTTATAATAGTTTTAGTTATGGTTTGTACATATTGGTTCTTCTCTCGCTGGTATTCAAGGAAGAATTCAACCTTTCATTTTCTAACATTTGGACTTCAAGAAAACACTTGGTGTGATTCCAAGCTTGGGAAACAAATATTTTGGAAACGTTTCTTTTTTCTCTTTCTTTGACTTGCAAGTATTTGCGTCTTCTTTCATGTAGTTTGAAGAGAAAACAAAAAAACCTTCAAAGACGTACATACTTTTATATCAAAAGTATTCAATTACTTTTCCGTTGTTGTAAACCATCAGGAAAAAGAAGTAAAGTAAAACATTCTTTGAAACGGTCACCATCCCAAAAGCAAAATACTTAAATAGTACTCCCTGAATGCTACGTTAATGCACTAAATAAAAAAGCTGTATCAGCATATAAAAATAATAAGTTCATATTAACAAATCAATAACATGATATGAATATATATATGGTTGGTTACGCAAACAAAAAAACTTTATAAAATATCTTATATCTATAACTCAGATTTACCGTTTACGGCTGATCATACATTAGTTTTTTCGGGGACAATTTTTTTTAATGAGACAAACAAACTCATATATAATCAGCAGAATCATTATTCTGTGGGAGAAAAACTGCATATAATAGGAATGTTTACACGGTAAATCAGAAGTAAAATTTGGCTTGCCTGTTGTACAAAAATGTAATTATGTTTTGCAAAGGTATTTAAGCACTGTTACTTTGGAAGGCATGTCTCGTGGACCCAGTCAAATTTTGTTCCCATCCTACGGATAGATGAATGTTATAAATGCCGGACCTTAAGTTAAGAAATATAATTAAAAGTTGGTTTAAAAGAGCATCTATATAAGTATTAAATGATCTTTGTTTACTGGTTACTATCCAAAATTTGCTGTCACTCAATTGATTGACCTAAAAATTCGAAGGATTCCTATCCGTTATAATAAATCGGATTAAGGCTGAAGGGAGATATCCGAACCAAATAACCCTGATGTGAATTTGATCCATATTGTAAAAATATCCTAATAGATCATGTAAAATGGTACATAACCTACTTGTATCCTTTATCAACCAAATCTAAACGGATAATATGTAAAAAATCAAAATCCGAATATCATAAAAACTGATCTAAAAATCTAAATAAATATTTAAAATAAATATTCACAATTAAATAAATACCTCAAATATTGATTTGTATATTTAATTTGATATAATAATAATATCTATAGATACTTGAACCGACACAAAATGAGTTTGAATACAAAAGGGATAGTTAACAAAATTATAAAATGTATCATCTGAAAGAATTGTTAATCAAACCAAACCTAAACATGTATAAAATCTAAATGGGAATATTGAACCCGAAATGTAACATAAAAACACCGATTCGAATCAGAACACGTATTAACAAGACATTTCACTAAAGATTTGACTGGTTTTACTATTACCATCTATAAACAAAGCTTTGTAGCGGTTGTTAGTACTTTACAATAATTATAGAAAACGCTACAAATTGTTTTAAACCGTTTAAAATCTCTAAAATTTAAAAATTGGTTATAGCTAACGTTTGCAGTTGCAGATCGATATAGGAAGGTAAAATAATTTCTTTTTAAAAAAACTGTATAAACAGAAATAAAAAAATTTAACTAAAATTTCAAATTAAAATAATAAAAAATTAGAAAACATTTAAAAATATTTTCTATAACTTTAAAAAAAATAATAGTCAAATTTTCGAACTATAATTTTTATATTTATTATAATAATATAATTGTTAATATTTTTATAAATATATAAAATATAAATCTTATTAATTTATTATTTAACTATTGTTGTATTTAGTAGTTAACCAGTCATATATATCTCGAATATGCACCGATTTCTAACCGCTGTACCATCATCAAAATCTTTTAATAGCACTTAAAAATATAATCATCCACAACCGCAAACGTCCTCTGCATCTGCAACTTGCGACCTCTGGTTACACCACTCAGCCGAGAACAAATAGTCAAGTTGGGGCTCTTACATTTAGCAGGATTTGTTATTATCTGGCCCACGATTATTTTGGGACTTTTACATCAAAATTTGTGAACCAGATGGATTAGTTGTGTCAGTAGAATGGAAAAGGAAACACCTAATCATATTATTTTGAAATGCCCACTAGTGTTACCAATTTGGGCTATATCTCAGGTCCATGCCCTTTTAGGAGATTTTCCAATCACATCAATTTTTATATGGATTATTTCTTGACTCTCAATTTAAAGGATAACTAGTATTACAAATTTTCCTAGATTAGTTAGTATATTTTGAATGTTAAAAATGATAAGCTAATAAATAATTTAATTGAAACCACAAAGGCTTTAAAATTTACAGAAAGAAAGTTAATCAAAACCATTTGTTAAATATATTAGTTACGGTCTAGTTTTTGCATTTTTTTTATATTATCGTAATTAGTTAAAGTTTGATTGCAAACAAAAAACACAATGCTCATGCAATATTCAAGTAAAAAATACATATAAGACAGAATTCCCACATTTATATATTGTTATATATAAATGTTTTGCAAAAAACCCAAAATGAGGTATGTGCGTGATGTGTAGCATAAGAAAGGCATGACATAAGGCAGTTCGAAAAAACCTGCCTTTTCTCCAACATTTAATGCACATTGGCCGCTTATTCTGGGCCCCACGATTAGCCACGTGTCATTTTCTCATCGAGGGACCCAGTTCGGTACTCGTATGCACACACAAACCTAACACCTATTTCTTCTTGTATCTTATATGATACACACCTTCACTCTCCAAAACATCAAATCCTCTTCCTACATATTCTCCCTTGAGTATCATGAGACAGTCTTCGTAGAATAACTCATTTGCAAATAGCGAGTTGATGGAAAACATGGGGGATTCGACCATAGGGCCGGGTCATCCGCATCTCCCTCCCGGGTTTCGGTTTCACCCGACCGACGAAGAACTTGTAGTTCATTACCTCAAGAAGAAAGCTTCTTCTATTCCACTTCCGGTCTCAATCATCGCTGAGATTGATCTTTACAAGTTTGATCCTTGGGAGCTTCCAAGTATATACCATTTCCTTTATATATATTTCCTAATTTGTTTTAGTTGTTTCGATTAAAATGTATAGTTAGTTGGATAAGATTATATATGACCATTGACATTTTTCTTTTAGTGATGGATAATGATCACTTGGTTATAACGCACGGTATTTTTAATGGTTCAGGCAAGGCAAGTTTTGGAGAACAAGAATGGTACTTCTTTAGTCCTAGAGATCGGAAGTATCCCAATGGCGTTAGGCCGAACCGGGCAGCAACTTCTGGTTACTGGAAAGCCACGGGAACCGATAAACCAATATTTACGTGTAATAGTCACAAGGTTGGGGTCAAGAAAGCGCTTGTGTTCTATGGTGGAAAACCTCCTAAAGGGATTAAAACTGATTGGATCATGCATGAATATCGCCTCACTGATGGTAACCTTAACAACGCTGCTAAGCCACCTGACTCAACTACGACAAGGAAAAACTCACTACGGGTATGCGAAATGGTCTAACACATCTACTAACAAATTTTGGTCATCACCTTATATAGATTCTAAAATATAAAATAAGGTCCTCCCATACCGTCACCACGTGGAAAATTATCAACATCTATTATATCTTGTTATTCTACAAATTGTTTCACGTGGGTAACTAACTCAATGCAAAAACAATATTTTGGGTACAATTTATGATGGTCTCTATTAGCTGAGTAGATACGATTAACTAATGCGCACGCTATTTATTATTATATACTATATATGTAATATTAAGGATGAGCATTCGGATACCCATAGAGATTCGGGTCTATCCGGATTTTGGAGTTCAAAATTTCAGTCTCATTCGGGTATTTATAAATTTCGGTTTGGATTCGGTTCATATATTTGCCGGTTCGGTTTGGGTACGCATAACCCGCTTAAATTTTTTTAAAATTTTTAAATTTATATATCCTTTTAGTTTCTTAAATTCTAAACATAAAAATAACATCTAACAAGTAAATTTGTGTATTATATGCCAAAATACCTAAATTTAATATAAAATTTATTTGTTTGAATATTTGGATGAATGATCAATAGATATTTTAACTAATTTTGATGTTTTGAGTATTGTTTAACTCTTTAATTTAGATATTTACTTTTTACTATTTGTATATATTTTAAAAATATTTTGGATAACTGCAAAATATCTTATACGTTTTGGATATTTACTCTAAAAGTAGCAAATATATTTAAGTATATAAATCTGACTAAGATAAATTCGGATACTCGAAATATTTTGGTTTGGATCGAGTTCGGTTTCGGTTCTTTGGATACCAAAATTAAAACCCGGTCGGATATTCAACATATTATGGTTCAGATTTGGTACTTTTTTGGTGGATTGGGTTCGGTTTGGTTTTTCGTATTCAGATTTTTTGCCCAGTACTATGTAATATGGTCGGTGTATTTATTAATGCAATACGAATCCAAATATTGCAGCTAGACGACTGGGTTCTATGTAGGATCTATAAGAAGAACAGTTCACAAAGACCAACAATGGAAAGAGTATTACTAAGAGAGGATCTCATGGAAGGAATGCTCTCAAAATCATCTGCAAATTCATCTTCCACATCGGTCTTAGACAACAACAACAATAATAATAACGAAGAACACTTTTTCGATGGTATGGCCGTTTCTTCGGACAAACGTTCCTTGTGTGGTCAGTATCGTATAGGTCATGAGGCTTCTGGATCTTCTTCTTTCGGGTCCTTCTTATCGAGCAAGAGGTTCCATCATACGAGTGATCTCAATAATGACAACTACAATGTCTCATTTGTCTCGATGCTTAGTGAAATTCCTCAGAGTTCGGGGTTCCATGGCAATGGAGTCATCGATACGACGTCGACTCTAGGTGATCATGGGGTTTTAAGACAGGCATTTCAGCTTCCTAACATGAACTGGCACCCATAATCAACATAGCTATGTATGTATTTATGCACACACATTATAGTTTATACAGTATATAGATAAATATACATATATACACACGTGATCTCACATATGTATACGTATCTGTTTACGTCAAGAAAGGTCTATACGTCTCTTTCTACTACATGGTTGCAAGATGTATACTAATAACAGAAGCAGATTAATTACAACTACGAAAGTGTACTTTCCTCCTAGAATCAGTTACATAAAAAAAAGTTTGCTTAAAAAACAAGTTAGATAAATTAAATATGCCACATATGATATCGAGTTTTAGTTTAATTGTTATATTCTCCTCTCCATAAAAAAATGTAAAATCGTTTTAAAGGTAATTTACTACGTGAATGAAATTGATTGTCTTACACAGTATATCATGTGAGTTTATATAAACGTAAGATTTTTTTCGGAGAAGTGCTTGCATGTAGTATTACAGTGGTACTTCCTTCTCAAAGATGAGTACAAAGAGTCTTGAATACGAACCTCTGTCACCACAATGATACTTAGCCTCTCCAAATGGAAATTTAGATATATGCGTAAGAACAAGCGTTGTATACTAACACGTACGTAATCCATGCCAGATATGGAGTTTTTCCTGGATATGAGACTGCTTTACGGTGGGGTGACTTGTCACTATAAAAAGTTAACATTTTTTTTACCAACAAGAAGGTTACCTGCTGACTACTCTTGGGTCACATAGTAGGAATCCAAGAGCATGTCCATCGGACAAATTGTTGAAAAGGAGTTATGGTCAGAAAAATATTAGTATTATAAGTTTATTTGTATTTTTATTAAAGTTTATTTTCTTTTGAATGCTTAGACAAATAAAAAGAGGACACATCTCTTTTACTGTTTGCAACCGGGCCTAAACTAAGTACTTTAAGAGTTTTTTTCTTCTTTTCTCTCTAATTTTTTTTTTCTTTTTTTTCCTAAATTGTTAAGAAGCCTAAGAACATCAATAACCCAAGGTGCTTATGGGAGGTTTTAGCAAAAAGTAGTGTGTAGGTCCCTCCCAAATGTAAGTGTCGGTTACAAAAGTGTCCAGATAAACGTCGAATTGTGTAGGGATTTTGTATAGTTTGCGAGCTCCACTAACACATGGCGACCCACAATTGGTTCAGTTTTTAATTTTTTTTTTATAAAAAGAAAAACACAAAAAAATAGATAAGCACCGGTTGTGCGTTAATGGTGCTCTAATAGAACTTACCGATGAACGTGCTCTAAGAAGTTAATGTTCGATTCTTTATCAGAGGAGTCCGCTCTCCTAAGGAGAGTTAATTTAACATTGGTATGATCTCATCAGATAGGGATGTACGGGCCTTCGGCTCTATAATTCCTAGTCAGATAAAAATTAGTATTGGGCAAAAATATTGCTAGACCCTTTTCATTAAATAAACAGAACATGTAAGTGATAAGTTATTTCATTAAATATATATATAATTATTTGCACATGTCCACACACTTACATATTTAAATAACCATTCAGCAAATCCATTATGTCTAAGGTGTTCAAGCTCCTCTTCTGTGGCATGCCTCTTAGTCAAGTGCAGCTCTGCCATATAAACACTATATATATATACCAAAACAATATTATTAATTTAAAATAAATAAGAATTATCCAATATTTAGAAAGTTTAAATGAGATAAAATATATACCTCTCATATTGTAGAACATCTTCACAGTTGGTGAGCAAATATGTGTGCAAATGAGCATGCTCTGTCTCAGTAAGTCTTCGCTTTGTAGATTTTCCACTAAGTCGTCCAATTTCCTTGAAGAGGGCTGGAACGGAAACATAATATGTTGCTCTTTCTCCTCGATCATCATGACGACTAGGTCGACGATTTTTGGTCTGCACTTCTCCTGGAAAGTATCTTTCTGCAAAGTTTGAACTTTCTTCATTGATCACCTGTGCGATAATAGATCCTTCCACCTTGCTCTGATTCTTGATCTTCTTCTTCAGATGATGCATGAAACGCTCAAAAAGATACATCCAGCAGTAATTCACAGGACCACCAAGCTCCAACTCTCTTACGATATGAATAACAAGATGTTCCATAACATCAAAAAATGTTGGAGGAAATATCTTCTCGAGGTTGCACATGATGATGGGTATTTTAGCCTTCAAATTCCTAATACCCTCTGCAGTGACTGATCTTGAGCATAAATCGCGAAAGAAAGCACTAATCCCTGTATAGACATATATGTAAAAAATTTCCATAAGTGAAATTATACAAACATAATAAATAGATATGTTAATCAATTGAAAAAAATATGATACATGCAATTGCTTCATGAACATTACGTGGTAATAGTGCTGAAAAACAAAACGGAAGGAGGCGCTGCATCATTACATGACAATCATGACTCTTCAACCCCGTAAACTTTCCTTCGCTTCTATCGACACAGTTACGCAAATTTGATGCATAATCATCTGGAAATGCCCCTCTATCTGTAATCCAATCAAAGAACTCCTCTTTTGCAGCTGCATTCAGTCGGTATATTGGAAAGGGAGCCACACCGTTCTCATCAACATGAAGTTCAGGACGATCACAAATATCAACTAGATCCAGTT